ATTGATGCAAAAATCCTCAATAAAATAATAGCAAACCGAATTCAACAACACATAAAAAGATCATTCACCACGACCAAGTAGGCTTCATCCCAGGAATGCAGGGGTGGTTCAACATATGAAAATCAATAAATGTAATACACCACATTAACAGAAGCAAAGACAAAAACCACTTGATTATCTCAATAGATGCAGAAAAAGCCTTTGATAAGATCCAACACCATTTCATGATAAAAGCTCTAAGAAAACTAGGAATAGAAGGAAAGTACCTCAACATTATAAAAGCTATATATGAAAACCTACAGCCAGCATTATACTTAACGGAAAAACTGAAAATTCCCCTAAAATCAGGAACCAGACAAGGAATATCTCCACTCCTATTCAACATAGTACTGGAATTCCTAGCCAGAGCAATTAGGCAAGAAGAAGGAATAAAAGGAATACAAATAGGTAAAGAAACTGTCAAAATATCCCTATTTGCAGATGACATGATCCTATACCTTAAAGACCCAAAAAACTCTACTCAGAAGCTCCTAGAAACCATCAATAGCTATAGCAAGGTAGCAGGATATAAAATCAACATAGAAAAATCATTAGCATTTCTATACACTAATAAATGAACAAACTGAAAAGAATATATGAAAACAATTCCATTTACAATAGCCTCAAAAAAAATCAAATACCTAGGTGTAAAAACAAAAAGATGTGAAAGACCTTCTACAAGGAAAACTATAACACTTCTGAAGAAAGAGATTGAGGAAGACTATAGAAAGTGGAGAGATCTCCCATGCTCATGGATTGGTAGAATCAACATAGTAAAAATGTCTATACTCCCAAAAGTAATCTACATGTTTAATGCAATTCCCATCAAAATCCCAATGACATTCATTAAAGAGATTGAAAAATCTACCATGAAATTTATATGGAAACACAAGAGGCCACGAATAGCCAAGGCAATACTCAGTCAAAAGAACAATGCTGGAGGTATCACAATACCTGACTTCAAACTATATTACAAAGCAATAACAATAAAAACAGCATGGTACTGGCACAAAAACAGACATGAAGACCAGTGGAACAGAATAGAGGACCCAGATATGAAGCCACACAACTATAACCAACTTGTCTTTGACAAAGGTGCTAAAAATATACGATGGAGAAAAGACAGCCTCTTCAACAAAAACTGCTGGGAAAACTGGTTAGCAGTCTGCAAAAAACTGAAACTAGATCCATGTTTATCACCCTATACCAATATTAACTCAAAATGGATCAAGGATCTTAATATCAGACCCCAAACTCTAAAGTTGTACAGGAAAGAGTAGGAAATACTCTGGAATTAATAGGTATAGGCAAGAACTTTCTCAATGGAACCCCAGCAGCTCAGCAACGAAGAGATAGCATACATAAATGGGACTTCATAAGACTAAAAAGCTTCTGCTCAACAAAAGAAATGGTCTCTAAACTGAAGAGACCACCCCAGAGTGGGAGAAAATTTTTGCCAGCTACTCATCAGGCAAAGGACTGATAACCAGAATATATAGGGAACTCAAAAAACTAAATTCTCCCAAAATTAATGAACTAAAATTAATGAATTAAAGAAATGGGCAAGTGAACTAAACAGAACTTTCTCAAAAGAAGAAATTCAAATGGCCAAAAACACATGAAAAAATGCTGACCATCTCTAGCAATAAAGGAAATGCAAATTAAAACCACATTAAGATTCCACTTCACCCCTGTTAGAATAGCCATCATTAGCAACACCACTAACAACAGGTGTCAGCAAAGATGCAGGAAAAAAGGAACCCTCTTACACTGCTTATGGGAATGTAAACTAGTATAACCACTCTGGAAAAAAAAATTTGGAGGCTACTTAAAAATCTAAACATTGATCTACCATATGATCCAGCAATACCACTCTTGAGGATATACCCAAAAGAATGTGACACAGATTACTCCAGAGGCACCTGCACACCCATGTTTACTGCAGTACTATGCACAATAGCCAAGTTATGGAAACAACCAAGATGCGCCACTACTGACGAATGGATTAAGAAAATGTGGTACCTATACACAATGGAATTTTATGCAGCCATGAAGAAAAACGAAATGTTATCATTCACAGGTAAATGGATGGAATTGGAGAACATCATTCTGAGTGAGATTAGCCTGGCCCAAAAGACCAAAAATCATATGTTCTCCCTCATATGTGGACATTAGATCAAGGGCAAACACAACAAGGGAATTGGACTTTTATCACATGATAAAGTGAGAACACACAAGGAAGGTATGAAGATAGGTAAGACACTCAAAAAACTAGAGAGCATTTGTTGCCCTCAACAGAGGAAACTAAAGCAGATACTTTTTTTTTTTTTTTAAGTTTTATGAACTCACTCTTTTTTTTAATTGTTTTATTATTCATATGTGCATACAAGGCTTGGGTCATTTCTCCCCCCTGCCCCCACCCCCTCCCTTACCACCCACTCCGCCCCCCTCCCTCTCCTCCCCACCCCCTCAATACCTGGCAGAAACTATTTAAGCAGATACTTTAAAGCAACTGAGGCCAATAGGAGAAGGGAACCAGGAACTAGAGAAAAGGTTAGTTCGAGAAGAATTAACTTAGAAGGGTAACACACATGTATGAAATCAATGCATGTCAACTCCTGTATAGTATTCTTATCTCAACTTGGCAAAAACCCTTGGTCCTTCCTATTATTGCTTATACTCTCTCTTCAACAAAATTAGAGATAAGGGCAGAATAGTTTCTGCCTGGTAGCAAGGGGTAAGGGGGGGTAAGGGGAGGAGTGGAGGGAGGGTGTAAGGAAGAGGGTGGGGGGAAGGGGGGAGAAATGACCTAAACAATGTGTGCACATATGAATAAAATAAAAATTTTTTTAAAAAAGTTAAACATAGTGTTACTATGTGATCTTGATTCCACTCTTAGGTGTCTACCTAAGAAAATGAAAACGTGCCCATACACAAACTCATACACCAATGTTGGTATGGTTTAAGTGTATACTTCAAGGGTCAACATGTTGGAAGCTTCATCCCAGTGTGGCAATACTAAAAGAGGGTATGATCTTTACAAGGTGGGACATAGTGAAAGGTCTTTAACTCTTTGGGGGTGTTACCCTCAGAAGGAATTAATGTAATTCCATGAGACCCAGGTTAGATTTTGCAAAAGAGTTGCTATAAAAAAGCAAGCCTGTTACCTCGTGCTCTCTGATTTCCTGTCTCACAATGTGATCTATCCCTCTTGCGTGTGCTTCTTCCATGATGCTATCTACCATGTGACATAGCCAAGGTCCCCTCACCAGAGCAGAGTCAAGACTATGTTCTTGAACCTTCAAAACTGTGAGCTAAATAAGCCTTTTTTCTTTATACATTACCCAGTCTCAGTTATTTTGTTAAAGCAATGGAAAACAACTAATACAAATGTTTATAACAGCATTATCCATAATAGCCAATAAGTAGAAACAACTCAAATATCCATCAACTGATGAATGAATAGACAAAATCTGGTATATTCATATAATAGAATATTATTTGGCAATAAAAAGGAAGGAATTACTACTGATTCATACTCTAACATGCATGAACCTTGAAAATATTATGCTAATAATGTAATCCAATAAAAATAGTAAAAAAATAAAATCCTTATAAACACACACAAGCCAATCACAAAAAACATACATTATGTGATTCCATTTATATGAAATGCCCAGAACAGGAAAATCTGAAGACAGAGTAGTTTTGTGTTTGCTTAGGGCTGGTGGGACAGGGGGAAATGAAGAATGACTACTTATGGAGCTGGTGTTTCTTTGGGGGATAATAAAAATGTTGTAAAGTTGTTTCAAATGAAAAATATTGATGGTGATGATGATTGCACAGCTCTGTGAATGTACTGAAAAGCAGCATACTCTTCATTTTAAATATGTGAATTATATAGTTATGAATTATTTGTGATAAATCTAAAAAAAAAAGAAAACCATAGGACATCCTTTCTCTGTTTCCCCAGATGTAGGTTCCAATTTAGTGGGGAACGACATTAGAGAACCAAGCCTCAGTGGGTTCATCTTGAGACCTACTGAAATCAGATGCTGCAAGTTACCTAAGAGGCCCCACCAACACTGAGGTCCCCAAAAAGAGTCCTTCAGGATATGTCTAGTCCACAGGCATGTTTAATTCTGACTTGACATTTGAAAGTCATGAGATTTCACAGTAAAATCCAGCTTTATAACATTTGTTACCACCCAAAGATGGTAACCCAGCCTGATTCCCCAGATCAGCTTCAGGCTTCAGCAGCACCAGGTACAAGCTTTCCATCACTCCCCTGTTACCTCTCTGTCACTGAAACTGAGAATCCATTACCATTATGGAATAAAGTGTTTGGTTTCATCTAAAACAGAAAACAAAGACTAAATAATCTGAGAGTTTGGGGGGAAACAAATGTAATCAGAGAGCTCTGAAGGAGTAAACAGTATTCTTGGTTCAGAGACTAATGAGGCTGTCCATGTCACAATGACCAGCTTTTCCTCACATGTGCCAGTCTCTCTCTTCCATGTGGCCTGGCTGGCCTCCACTGGTATAGCAGGATGCAATTTCTGTGTTAGGTTTTAAATGCCATAAAGGCAGGACTTTGCTTTCTGAATGATTCACAATTTATCTCAGGCAACTAATACAGGTTCAGCATAAAATAAAGTACTTTGTGACACGTGGTGAAGCAGGGGGAAATGCAGCCAAAGCCCAGGTCCTTGAAACATTCAACCCCTCAGAAGCCATTTAAAGCCAAAAGAGTACAGGAGTCCAGAAATTCTTCCTTCTCTCATCCTACCTCCTTTCTATATACAGTATGTTCTTCATATCAAGTTTAATTCAAAGGAAATTTTAGCCCTCTGAGACTGCCACAAGGTAGAATGGATAAAAATGTATTGATAAGTTGTGTTTTCTAATTCTTAAAATAACCCCACCTATGACATACCCTCCAACACAGTGTTGCTACTTACGTTTGATGGGATATCCTGGGGAGTGGGCAGCAGCGACATGCAGGACAGTGCAGCCAGCCTCGTCCTTCTGGTTGATGCGGCCTTTCCACTCAGGCTTGTGGTCCATTAGCCACCTAAAAAGTTGGTTTTCCCCTGAAGGGAAAAAATTTACAAACATTATATAAAATCAGCAAAGCAAATCAATGCATACCACACTATGGTAACCAATAGAGAAGATAACCACATATTTCCATTCACCACAAACAGGTGTGGAGAGATACAGGCATTTGTAAATTGAAAACATGAGTGACAGAAAGTTACTCATAATAATCTTAGGTTAGGGCTCTGGAAGCCTAAGACAAGGATTCTCTTTGTTTTGGTTTTGGGTTTTTTTTTTTTTTTTTTTTGGCAGTACTGGGCTTTGAACTCAGGGCCTTGTGATTGCTAGGCAGGCACTCTACTACTAGAGCCATGCCCCCTTTTTGCTTTAGGTATTTTTCAAAAAGGGTCTCACATTTATGCCTGGTGCTGGACTGGACTACAATCCTCCTATTTAGGCTTAATGTATAGCTAGAATGACAGGCACACATCAGCATGCCCAACTTTTCATTGGTTGAGATGGGGTCTTGTGAAATTTTTGCCTGGGCTGGCCTCAGACTGTGATCCTCCTGTTCTTAGCCTCCCAAATAGCTAGGATTACATGAGCAGGCCACCATGCCAGGCTTGAGATGGGAATTCTTATACATTTGATTTAGTGAGGGAGAAAGAGTCAGGAGAAAAAGAGTGAGAGAAACAGGACAGAGTAGGGTAAGGAGCAAAGCAAGGAGAAGCCCTGAGGAGATCTGGAGCATGACCTGCAACAGATCAGTCAATGCAAAGCTACAAAATGCCCAAGGAGAAAAGCAAAGTCAAGGGAGAAACTCCTTGGGAAGTAGTGCATTTTGGCAGAACAATTGTTTGGCCAAGGGGGCAGCTGAGCATTATTAGCACCCAATATTGGCATCAGGTAGAGACAGCACCCTGACATAAAGAGCGTATGGGTAAGTCACCACTATCCTCTACTAAAGTTATCAAGCCAACATCTGATTAGATTACTACATTACTATCAGCAGGACATACTTTTTAAATTTTTTTCCTAGACACCTTCCTTTTAGCTCCTGAGATCTAAGAAAGCTACACACCTCAGCCAACTCTGTGGACACCATTTGTCACCATGTCAGAATTGTCCTCCAAGAAACCAGAGACAAACTTGAAGACTTGATCTTACCACCAACAGCCTGTAAGTGTAGGGGCTAACTTAAAAAACAGACATAAAAGTAGTTGTGTCATTACCAGAGGCACATTCTCTGTGTTATAGTCTAATTTGAGAATAGGATGACTAGATTAAACTGCAAATGGCAGAGAAATATGGGTATATAAAGTCTAAAGCACTGACCACCCTACTGCCTTCCTGGGAAGATGACACAGCCTCAGAGGTCAACTAGACGAGCTCCTTTGGCCCCTTCTGGCTCTTACATGGTAAGGCTAGATGTTCAACATTGATACTCTTTATCCTTGACAAGGAAAAACAAGCCTCTATCTCAAGTGTGAGTAAAAATAAAAATATTTTAAAATTTAAATCCTTTAGCCAGATGGTAAAGCTTGGGGAAAAAAAGAATTTTATGAAAATAGCAGTCATTTACAAGAGCCACAACAAAATTCTATTTGTAATATCCCATGTTTCCCTTAGAAAGGGAATACAGCAGCCTCTGGGCTAGAGTGAAAATGAATTTGGAGGGGAGGGAACCACCCAAACTGCCTTTGCCAGCAGGGGGAATCCACAGCTATCCTGGAAGTGCTGCCAGCAACAGATGTCTGCCCCAAGTCCCAACCTTGGGTCCAAGGGCCACTGCTGTCAGGATTGTCTAAGAACACAGAATCTTACAGCTACTTGGTCCCAGAAGAAATAAAAATATTGCTGTTTCCCTGCTGCTTTCATTCACTTGGGAAATTATTTGGATAGTCTACATTCAAGTGGCTATATTCTGGATTCACTTGAGCTGGCTTCACTTGAGTCCGAGGGCTCGGTCCAAGATGGAGGAGCACAGAAAAGCAAGTGTGTGGCAGGAAAACACTCACCTGCTTGGATACAGAGCCGCATGAGGGCATGGAGAGGATGGGGTCCTATGGTCTCGACACTCGCACCGATGGAGATAAGCCATTGGACCAACTTGGGCACCTGCTCCATTTTCTCATAAAGCCCAATGAAGACATACTTCTGCAAAGACAATAACACACACACATAGGAAGAATCATGGAGGTTACTATGTCAATATAAAACTTTAAACTCCTTCATCCAAATCAAAAACTCTGAATTAGCCGTGACTTAAGCATAAATTCACTATAAATAACACATTTGTGCTAGGCATGGTGGTGCATGCCTGTAAGCCCAGTTACTTGGGAGGCAGAGGCAGGAATATGGCAATTTTAAGGCCAGTCCCAGGCAAAGTAGGTAGACCTTAACTAACTCAAAAACAAAATACAAAAAAGGGGCTAGGGGCATGGCTTAAGTAGTAAAACACTTGTAGCGTGCTGGAGGCCTAGGTTCATTCCTCATTACAGAGAGAATAAAGAGAAAAGAAGACAAAAGAAGAGAAAAAAAACACATTTGTGATGAGGAGGCTGAAGGGGAAGGCCCAAACACAAAGTGAGTAGCCTGATTTGAAGCCATCTGTTTGAAAAAGCTCTCTTACCTCAAACAGACTTTTCAGTGATAACTCAGGGACATGGATATTTCTTGGCAATCGGTCCTTTTTTGCTGACAACAGTAGAAATGACTGATAGGAGGGCAGAAAAAGAAAAGGTTGGAATAACAATATTCTCCACATAGACTATTAGAACAAAAAGGTTATTTTAAGCCTTAAACAAAAAGCAAAACAAAACACCCTCCACATTTGTTCTTTTTAAAGGCCTGATCCATGATAATCAAGTCTCTCTGTCTAGCCACATTCCCGTTCTTCCTGAGGACTAAATTCTCTTCACATATCCTCAAAGTCTGCAGAGGATAAGGCTAACTAATGTGGAGTAGCATGGCAATGAAGTAAAAAGTAGGCCCTTACAAACTTCTTGAAGCATAGCATACAGAAGACTTGAATCCTTTAGAAATATCCCATCCCAATCAATTTGTTAGCATGTCAGTGTTGCATCAGCCCCAGGTATTTGGGAGCACATTAGACTTATTAGGTAGTATGCTGGCGCCAGCTCCTATCCACTAGTGAGCTAACTATGCACATCTCTTCCCAACTTCAAGTCCCATGTGTCATGTTAGTAATAGGAAATTGGCCATGATGAGAGTATTTACTCTATGGAAGTTGGCAAATTCTTCTACTCAGGACTTTTGCCTCCCCAGAGAATCAGTTGTTAAACCACTGACTCTATCTAATCACTAAAGAAACTGAATCCCAGAAAGATGAAGCAACTTTTCCTAGGTCACACAGCACATCCTGAGAGGACCCTACTGAGATTATCCAGGTATGCTAGCAGGCCTAAGAATCCAGGCCCTTGTATGACCATGACTAGAGGCCCAGTCTCAGATCCAATCTTCCTTGTATAACCTTGCCAGCCAACTTAGGACAACAGGAACTGAGACTATGGCCACATCTTGCTTCTTGCTTCTTTCAATTTTGTGCCCATCATTAAATGTATACATTAAACAGACCCATACTCAACCCTAGAAGACACATTCAGTATTAGACAGTCCTGATTGCTATCCTGGCTTTTAAAAGATAACTTAATCTGCAGTATTTGAGAATTATCTAAGCCCCAAAGTAGCCACGATGTTAGAACTGCCACTTGGGCTAGATTCCCAGGCCATTCCTTGATTGTATAGAAAGATAATCTATTAGGAGCTCCTGGATCCTGTTCTCTCACTCCCCACCAAGGCCATGGATCTCTGTCTACCCTACACTGGGAAGAGGAGATAGGGTTCCTTCCTGGTGAATTGAACTACATTCCTGCTAATGAGTGATAAAGACTTCTACTCATAGATCTGTGGTAGCAGTGGAATCACAGAATTTCAAAAGTTAAAAAAAAATACGTAAAACTGGAAAGATTCTTATAGACCTTTTACTCTAGCCATCTTATTCAAAGAGAGAAGATCCCAAACGTCTTTTGACTGGATTCTGGATTTCTGACTCCTGGTTCCCCAAGAGTCTAAACTGCTTTCCTTATCTTTACTGCCTGACCTCCCAAGACCTCTTAATAGGAGAGGAAGCTTCAGGGAGCCTGTGGCTGGACTTTAGGGGGTTTCCCATAAATCCCTCTAAAACTACATATATAATTTTCTGTGTATGCAAAAAAGCCCCATACATTAAGTTAGATTTCCAGTGGAATCTGTGACCTTGCCAAAAATGGAAGAATTCTCTATTCTAAAGTCATTTAACTTGCCAGGATCTAAAGTCCTTAACAGGATGCCCTTGCTTTGGGTGACTTTTAAGAACTGCACACCTTCAGAAAGTCAACCAGTCTCTTTCTTTTTTTTTTAATTATTTTATTATTCATATGTGCAAAGCTTGGATCATTTCTCCCCCCTGCCCCCACCCCCTCCCTTACCACCCACTCCACCCCCTCCCTCCCCCCCCCCTCAATACCCAGCAGAAACTATTTTGCCCTTATCTCTAATTTTGTTGTAGAGAGTATAAGCAATAATAGGAAGGAACAAGGGTTTTTGCTGGTTGAGATAAGGATAGCTATACAGGGAGTTGACTCACATTGATTTCCTGTGCGTGGTGTTACCTTCTAGGTTAATTCTTTTTGATCAACCTTTTCTCTAGTTCCTGGTCCCCTTTTCCTATTGGCCTCAGTTGCTTTTAAGGTATCTGCTTTAGTTTCTCTGCGTTAAGGGCAACAAATGCTAGCTAATTTTTAGGTGTCTTACCTATCCTCACCCCTCCCTTGTGTGCTCTCGCTTTTATCATGTGCTCAAAGTCCAATCCCCTTGTTGTGTTTGCCCTTGATCTAATGTCCACATATGAGGGAGAACATATACGATTTTTGGTCTTTTGGCCAGGCTAACCTCACTCAGAATGATGTTCTCCAATTCCATCCATTTACCAGCGAATGATAACATTTCGTTCTTTTCATGGCTGCATAAAATTCCATTGTGTATAGATACCACATTTTCTTAATCCATTCGTCAGTGGGGGCATCTTGGCTGTTTCCATAACTTGGCTATTGTGAATAGTGCCGCAATAAACATGGGTGTGCAGGTGCCTCTGGAGTAACAGTCTTTTGGGTATATCCCCAAGAGTGGTATTGCTGGATCAAATGGTAGATCGATGTTTAGCTTTTTAAGTAGCCTCCAAATTTTTTTCCAGAGTGGTTGTACTAGTCTACATTCCCACCAACAGTGTAAGAGGGTTCCTTTTTCCCCGCATCCTCGCCAACACCTGTTGTGTGGTGTTGCTGATGATGGCTATTCTAACAGGGTGAGGTGGAATCTAGCGTGTTTTAATTTGCATTTCCTTTATTGCTAGAGATGGTGAGCATTTTTTCATGTGTTTTTGGCCATTTGAATTTCTTCTTTTGAGAAAGTTCTGTTTAGTTCACTTGCCCATTTCTTTATTGTTCATTAGTTTTGGGAGAATTATTTTTTAAGTTCCCTGTATATTCTGGTTATCAGTCCTTTGTCTGATGTAAGTTGGCAAATATTTTCTCCCACTCTGTGGTGTTCTCTTCAGTTTAGAGACCATTTCTTTTGATGAACAGAAGCTTTTTAGTTTATGAGGTCCCATTTATCTATGCTATCTCTTAGTTGCTGTGCTGCTGGTTTCGTTGAGAAAGTTCTTACCTATACCTACTAACTCCAGAGTATTTCCTACTTTTCCTGATCAACTTTAGAGTTTGGTCTGATATTAAGATCCTTGATCCATTTTGAGTTAATCTTGGTATAGGGTGATATACATGGATTCTAGTTTCAGTTTTTTGCAGACTGCAACCAGTTTTCCCAGCAGTTTTTGTTGAAGAGGCTGCTATTTCTCCATCATTATATTTTTTAGCTCCTTTGTCAAAGATAAGGGTATAGTTGTGTGGCTTTCATATCTGTCCTCTATTCTGTTCCACTGGTCTTCATGTCTTTTTTGGCCAGTACCATGCTGTTTTTATTTGGTACTGACTTTGTAATATAGTTTGAAGTCAGGTATTGTGATACCTCCTGCATTGTTCTTTTGACTGAGTATTGCCTTGGCTATTCATGCCTCTTGTGTTTCCATATAAATTTAAGGTAGATTTTTCAATCTCTTAATGAATGTCATTGGAATTTTGATAGGAATTGCATAAACATGGTAGATTACTTTGAAAGTATGGACATTTTACTATGTTGATTCTACCAATCCATGAGCATGGGAGATCTCTCCACTTTCTATAGTCTTCCTCAATCTCTTTCTTCAGAAGTTTATAGTTTTCCTTATAGAGGTCATTCACATCTTTTGTTAGGTTTACACCTAAGTATTTGATTTTTTTTTGAGGCTATTGTAAATGGAATTGTTTTCATACATTCTTTTTCAGTTTGCTCATTATTAGTGTATAGAAATGCTAATGACTTTTCTATGTTGATTTTATATCCTGCTACCTTGCTATAGCTATTGATGATGTCCAGAAGCTTGAAAGTAGAGTTTTTTGGGTCTTTAAGGTATAAGATCATGTCATCTGCAAATAGGGATATTTTGACAGTTTCTTTACCTATTTGTATTCCTTTTATTCCTTCTTCTTGAACCAGACTCTTTCTAACCAAATTCTCAGCCTTGGCTAGTCCATTCTCATGAACACATATAACCCATCAGCAATGAAAACTACTATTCACTGGGCACTTAGCATATGTCAGTTATTATGAAACGCCTTAGTTTAGTGCCTGGCACATTGTAAGACTTCAACAAATATTAGCTGATGTTACTATTAGATAGTCTGATTTTTATTTCTCAATTCTCAAAAAAACCCTGAGAGAATAAACTTTTGAGGAAGTGAGGCTCAAAGGGGAAGTAATTAGCTCAAAATAATAAGTGGAAGATTAGAATTAAAGGATACCTACCATCTCATTTAGCTGCTATTCATTGGTTAGAAGTCCCTTAAAACTATACAGAAACCTTTCTGAGCAATACAGGTCTTCTTAGGCCCATACTACCTAACACAGGATAAAAAGAATTATGAAGCCAGGGGCCGGTGGCTCATGCCTGTAATCCTATAGCTACTCAGGAGGTGGAGAGCAGGAGGAATGCAATTCAAAGCCAGCCCTAGGCAAAATAGCTCATGAAACCTAATCTCAAAAAAAAATCCATTGCAAAAAAGCGTTGGTGAAGTGGGTCAAGTGGTAAGTGTGCCTGCCTAGCAATTGTTAGGCCCTGAGTTCAAACCCCAGTGCCCCAGAAAGAAGTATTATGAAAATGAGCATCAAGTGTGTGTTTTCCTCAACTCACAATAACATTAGCATCTATACTTCACGTTTCTTTTATAACAGAAACACAGAGCAAGAAGTGAGGTTATCACAAACTAAGTTTTTCACTATCTTAAAAAAAAACAGGAACTGGTTGATTAATCTATCCCAGTGACTTTCTATCTTTAATGGTACCTGAGTTAAAAAGTTATTCTGGCATCAAGACAAACAAATAATACATTACAGTCCCTCAGTGCTAACTGAAAGAAATCATTTAATCAGGAGTGTACTTTCCAAAAGAGAGCTAGCTCCTTTTACTTACATGCCATAATCCTTTCTTTGCCAACTTTTCTATGGCAGATTTCCACACCTCTGCTGAAAATTCAGTAGTGAAAATATGATCAAAGCAGGGCAAGAAACTCTGCAAAACAACAGAGTCACCTGAAAGAAAGTTCCATAGTTTAGAAAATTTAATGTGGGAGAAGGCTAGAACATTGAGGAAAAATCCAACAATGAAGACCACATATATAAAAATAGTAAAATAAAGATATTAAAAAGAAAGGTATTTTCAAAGTATAAAGTCCTTTACAATTGACTGAAGTGGTAATCATTTTAAGTTTATTCATGCAATCAATTCTCTAAAAATCAGGTGGCATAATGTGGGCTAACATTCACTTAGCTTTTCTATTTGTGGAGCCAGTGATAGAAGTTTACATTTAATTTCTCAAACAAACTACTAAGACAGTGCCTATTATCTCCATTTACAGAGGAGGAAAGGAAAACTTAGATGAACTTACAAAACTCACTTCCCTTTAAGAAAAATGTAACAAGTACTATTGTTTTCCAACAGACTGAAATAATGACAAATGAAGACAGAGTTCATGGCATATCATGCAGCTGATTCATTTCTTTGTTGTTGGTGGTTTTTTTTGGGGGGGGGAGGTTCTTGAGATAGGATCTCACTATATAGCCTAGGCTGGCCTGGAGCTCACAATTTTCCTGACTCAGTCTCCCAAGTGCTAGGATTACAAGTGTGTACCACTACACCTGACTCTCACACAGCTAGCTGACAACAAAAACCAAGACTGGAACCCAAATCTACCAACCCTTTTAGCCAATACACATTCTTCTAACCTAGTGGCTCATCAACATACTACATCTTCTATACCATATCCCTCAAACTCACATATGAGCATGTCTAAGGAGGACAGGTTAACTGCCAGAATAACGTGGCACCTCTTTCAGGGTTATTGATTTTAAAACATAAGTAAATATGAAAACAAACATACTTGTATGAAAGAGTGTAAAATTTCCATAAATATGTTTTCTACAATTTAGAATTTGAGTCACAGGCATATATTCACCTTCCTAAGTATAGTACTTGGGTTTAAAAAAAAAAAGTATCTGATGCATTGCCCTAAAGTCATGTAAACTGCCCCTTCCCAGGGTGCATATACCCAAGTTAATTTAGAGTATACTCATCAAGAAGCAATTTTTTGAATTCCCAAAACTCAGGCTTGGCTTCTGACAGGACAGTGACTTTTAAATGACCCAGAAAGACAGGAAGTTCATGGAATGGGCCAAGCAATTAATCAGGAGGAAAAAGAGGCCATCTTTGGCTACAGTGAGCAAAAGGCAGACTGGAGAGCTGTGGTTCATCAGCAGTTGTCTAGAGACCTTCAAATGCTCTGTCAGGCAGGAGGGAGGAGCACAGCTGTGCCTGCTTCTAATGCCTTCCCATTGCCAACTACTACACTAATCCCCTCTGAAGAGCCTTCCACAGACCACAGAAGTTGCTTTCCCACAATAGCAACAGGAACAATTGAATCCATAATAGTTGAATGGCTCATCAGCAAAGATTTCCCTACTTCTGAAAGTCAAAAACCATTTCTCAGTTATTTAAATATGTGTCATTTTTCATTTTCCTAACATCTCCGAAATAGGGGTACATCTACAATTAATGCTGACTTCACCGGCTGAACATAAATTAACATCTTACATGAGTTCAATTTAAAGTTGATCAAATACAGTATTTGAAACCAATAGCCTAAATATAGGCAGACTAGACTGCCAATCTAGACAAGGGGTATATTACATTGCTCTTTATAGGTTTCTAGTTTTACCTATTCTGGGCCTCTGAGAAAGCCAGTCATCCCAGTAGTGATCAATTGCAGGGTTATAGAAAGTTCCCTTGGAGTCTCTCCTGGACAGAGGGTACATGACTAAAACCTGCTCCTGGGCAGGGAATATCATAGTTATGACACCAAGCACCCATTATCAGCTTTCACTGGACCCTCTGTTGACCTTTCCAGGTTATTTTTAGAGCAAACAAGAATATTTTCTCAACAGATTAGAGAAATACATAAGAAATCACAGGAAATAGCAATTACATAAAACAAGTAGTATAAATAAGGAAATCTCAATAAACAACAGCACAGAAAACTTACTGGGTCCAAAACAAAACTCCAAAAGCTTTATGTCATTTGTATAATAAGACTTCATTGTGTTTACAAAGATATGAGCCACCAAAGCTTTCAAATGCTTTCTAATAGAACCAGTTTCATTTAAACTACCTATATCAGCCACAAAGAAACACCCTGGAATTATCTCCCCACAAGACATTAAAATAAAATTAACAAAGACTTAAAGGAAAAAAGTTCCCCCCACCCAGTTCAACTTACTGCTCATAGTGGTGAAGACCCCAACAAGGAAATTAGGAACCTGTGCTTGGTCTTGACTGCTCTGCAGAAGTCGTAGGCCATCAAAAAACATGTGAGCAGCTTCATAAGGCTGGAGCAACCGCAGTAAGGAATAACCAGCTCGGTAGTATCCCTGGAAAAGGGAAAAAGAGCAAAGGTGAAATGTCCTCCATCTCCTCTAACCTCCTACTGAAAGGAAAAGCAAGGTTACAACATGAGGAAATCCAACAAGCACTGAACATAGGGTTCCCACATATTCTGTGCCAAAACTTTCCTGTCACATTTTAACTGCCAAGAAAATACATATTCATGTTCAAATCCATAACTTATACAGCATCTAACATATAAGACAGAAAGAAGGAAGCAGGTCTGGTTCCAATTATGTGTGTAGTTTATTATTCATACCTCCAATCACAGTCTGGGACTGAACAGAAGAATTAAAGAATTCCTATGTCTAGAGTTCAGGAAAAGAATAAGATTTTCATGTAAATCCAGAAGTTGTTCCCTGATCCTTGCAATCAAAACAAACACACTTTTCACTGGTTTGTAAGAAAAAAAATTGTAGTGACAAGCATTGAGAATCACTATTTCCACATTATAAGCAATATACACAAAAGATCAATTTTTTTATTTCTGTGGAGAGAAGAAAATTATGCTGATTAATGGGGAAAATGTTCTGGTTTTGTCTATATGGCCTGGACATAAATTCGAGACCCTACCTCAAAAATAACCAAAACAAAAAGGGCTAGGGTTCAAACCACAACACACACACACACACAAAATGTTTTCTGAATTGGCATCATGTCTTCTACTCAGCTTGCATATGAAATAAAACTTTGCTAAAATGATACTTATAGGCAGCAAAGAACATGAACATGCTATGAGTTTTGGTGTAACTACTTCAAAACAAAATGAGCTACTCCAGAATCTCATCACATCCCACCTGCCAGGAGACCAAGCTCCACTCTCCCCTGTTGCTACCCTCCTCCAGATAATGCTCCCCTGACCCATGAGCCTCTGTGTGAAGTACAAAGAGTGTCGAAATACAAGCATTCCTACCATGTCCATTTTAAAGGAGGAAGAAAAAGTGGCAGATTAAGAGAAGACAGAAGTAGTGACCACCCCATACCTTCACATAGGTTGGGTCCCACTGGAGACATTCTTTGGCAGCTAGAAATGCCTCATTCCATTTCCCAAGGCTGTAAAATGCACTGGATTTGTTGCACAGAAGCACAGCCAAGTCCCTCGGAGGAACCCTGTGAAAGAGAAAAAACCATGGTCTGTAAGGCCACCATTCTCAAATACAAGAAATAATCCTTGAGGACTGTATCTGGAACTGATTTTCACCACAATAAGAGTGTTTCAGCAGGCAATGTGTCAATTATGCCCATCAGATCTGTCCATTGCAGCCTCCTAGAAAGACTACAGCATTTACCATATACAAGCCTGTTCTTCCTCACTCCCAAATTCTCTGCTCCCATCTTTTGATGGCATATGTTTTCCACAACTTGTTTCCATCTCCCAATGATCTCTATAAATCTTTTTTATTTTTAGAGCTCAATGGAGAATGTAGAGGGTATTTTTGTTTTGTTTTGTTTTTGTGGTACTGGGGTTTGAATTCAGGGCTTCACGTTTGCTAGGCAGGTGCTCCACCACTTGAGCCACTCTACCAGCCCTGAGCTCATTGGAGAAGATATTGTTAAAAATACTGACTGGTCATAAGGATGGAGAGGATGGTAGTTCCCACAGAACCTTTACAGAGTCCAGTTATTTCACATGCACATTGGTAAAGAGCATATTAGCACATAATCATCCCTTCTCCATGGCTAACCACAACAGAATAGGCTGCAAATAAGAGACCTTGCCAGACCCTCAGCAGAGTCTACAGGCAAGGAGTTCTAGGGTCCTTGATACCCACAGTGTGGACCAAAGAAGCCAACAGCTCTGTGGGTGTGTGTACCACAAACTCTTGCCTAGAAGGGACACAGCTGGAGGATGACCAAAGAGAGGCCCTCTAAAGCATGGCAGGGCAAAGACCCCTCTTGCCTGGATTCAGGAATAATACAGCAGCAATTTAAGTGCTGAAACCAAGTTGAAAAAAGATAGAAAAGATATCAAAGTATCAAGAGAAGCCCAGGTGACACTGGAATTTTAAACACACAAAAAGAAAAAGCAAGGCTTATGACTTTTTTATTGAAAACAATTCCACTATGGAAAAGACACATAAGTCCAGATAAAAACAAAAATAAAAGAGTAAATGTCACCTATGTTGTTGCCCCATTCTCAACAGTCTGTATGTCTGGCTTCTTTCACTGCCCATACTTCCTCCAGATCAGAGTGTAGTCCCAGAAGCATACAGGGACACTGGGACAGGCAGCATGTGATGAGCACAGGAGCTGTGACCTCAAGTGTAGTTGATGTCATGGTGCCCATCCCAGACATTGTGTCATGGGCAGCCACTCTCAGCTGCAGTGACTCTCAGCTGCAACTAGGTATTCTCAGCATCCTGTTCTACAGAGATTTATCCTCAGCCTAACGAAAGCTGTCTTATTCTCAGCAAGTTACACCTATGCTATGAACTGAATTGTGTTCCCTCAAAATTCTGTGTTGAGGCCTAACCCCAACTGTGACAGTATTTGGAGATAGGGCCTTCAGGAGGTAATTATGTTTAGATAATGTCATGTGGGTGGGACCCTCATGATGGGATAGTGCCCTTACAGGAAGAGACACTAGAGAACTTGCTCTCTCTCTCTGCCACGTGATAATACCGGGAGAAGGCAGCCATCTAAAAGCCAGAAAGAGAGCCCTCATATGAGAACCAAATTCTACTGCCTTGATCTTGAACTTCCATCCTACAGAATTGTGAGAAATAAATTTCTGCTGCTTAAACCACCCAGTCTACAACATTTTGTTATGGTAACCAAAGCATATTAATATAGTCCCACTCCTTAGGACCATCCCCAGAGGCCAGTCACTCTATAAGCTATGATCAACTGACATGGGAACCAAATGAGTACCCCCCACCTTGCTTCAAAGCAGAACCAGCTCTGTGGTACAATTCATGGTCCAGAACCCCCCTATGGGTTCAGGCTGAATTTGGCTCCAGTTAGACACCAGCCCTGTTTGGAGCTTTCCCCTGCCTCACCCTACTTCCCTCAGTACCCTTCTCCTGAAAGGATTCAGTCAGTCAATCACACATACCTCAATCCCCATTTGCTGGCAGCAGCAGAAAGCTAAACAGCAGGCAATGGGCAAGAGGATAGCGTCAAGAAGGCTTCATGCAACATGTGAGGGTCCAGACAGAAGTGCCATTAGTGATACACAGGAGGATACACAGTGTGGTTCTGCAACCATAAACACTACCCCATACCACCTCTTTAAGAAAGTTGAATGTTTTGTCCCAAATAAAGAGCTATAGCCCAGCTTCTGATCACTACTAGGGTGAGGCAGAACCACAGAAAAGACAGAAACAAGTCAGTTACGTTGACTCAAGATCACCTCCAGTGTAGACATGAGGATGACAGCGGGGAAAAAAAAATGGAAACAAACCGAGGAAAAAACAAAAAGTTCCATTGCTTCAGTCCAATAACTTCAATGATGTTCTCATACAAGTTCAGGATATATAAACTAACACCTGCCAACCTCTGCTCCCTCTACCAGACTATTCCCCAAGGATGATCTGGAAACCTCCAGGAGTCTGCAAGACCATTTCAGGTGGTCCAAAAAGTAAAAATGTTTTCACAGTTGTGGTTGTCTGAATAATGACTCCCAAATAATGTTATCTTTTATGGCAAAAGTGACTTTGCATATGTGATTAATTTACAGATCTTGAGAAAGGGAAATCATCCTGGATTTTTATATAATCACAAGTGTCCTTAGGAGAGGGAGGCAGAGGGAGGAACACATCACTATAGTGGAAGAGAAGGCAATGTTACGACAGAGCAAAAATTGGAATGGTGAAAGAATGAGACAAAAGCCAAGGACTACAGGCAGTCACTCAAAAGAACAGAAAAGGCTCCGGGTGAGTGAAACTCCTGCCTGTAGGAGGGACACAAAGCCTCCTCTCAAAGTGTCCACAAAGCAGCAGCCCTGTTAATACTGATTTTAGCCCCACCAGTAATTTCAGACTTCTAACCACCAGCACTGTAAGAAAATTAATTTGCATTGCTTTAAGACACTAAATTTGTGGTAATTTGTTACAGCATCAATAGGAAAGTAACAGAACAATAATACTAAGACATTATGTGCCTTTTATGCTTACTCTCTCATAAGCATACAGGGAACTTTCCAGAGGCCACATGGCATAATATCACAACAGAATAAATGCAGAAGCAGATGAGATTTGTAAAAATGTGCTGCTCCAGAGCCAGGCAGGGTAGGGGAGATAAGAAAGAGTAATGGAGGGGGTGATTTTTTTTTCCTTTATTGTTGTGATGGGTGGGGGTACATTGTGGCATTTAGACAGGTTCTTACAAGATATTAAATATATCATACATGAATTCACCTCCTTAACCATTCTCCTTTATCCTCCAGAGGGGGTGATTTTGATCAAACTACATTACATGCATGTATAGAAATATCACAATGAAACTCTTTTACACAATTAATAGATGACAATAAAAATAAAATTTTTAAAATGTGCTGTTCTTCTCATGAAATTTTGTTTTGAGAAATAATTATTTTTCATAAAAACATACCATCATGGAGCTATTGTTGATATTTTCAATAAACTAATACATATTTTAAATTTATCTCCATTTTAAGTTCTAATTCAGACTAGACTGACAGCTACAACCTATAAAAACAAAGACTCTTTGGGTCTCTCAATAATTTCTAAGCCTGTCATAATACTACAGTGTTAGAGATGAGGTCTTCTAGAGTTGCAGGGGCAAAGAAAGCACAAGTTAAGCCTCAGTGCTTATGGTGTGTCCCTGTGACCAGGGGTAAATCAAGAAGATGAAAAAAATGACAAAGAGGAGGTTGAGGATTCAGCCATTCCCCAGACTCTTGATTTGTTAACCAGGCAGAAGGGAAAGTTCAGTTATGTTTACCAACAGTCCACTGTGTTTCACTTTCTATTTCCCCTATTCTGCTAACATTCTCTGTTCAATTTCTGGACAGACAATGCAGAGAAGATAAACAGGAAGCAAGGCAGAACGGAAACAGAAACATAATGGTGTGATTAGAAATTAGAAGAAAACATAAACAAGAGAGTTCTCACTTAACTTAAAAAATGGGGGAGGGGTAGGATAGAAAAATCCAAACACTTACCCCCACTGGTATACCTGCAGGAGAATCTGGATGGCTTCATCATACTTTCTGATGGCCAAAGAGAAGTTCCCATTCTTGAGAACCTGGTTACCAGATTCTTTTAACAGCTCTGCATAAGCTATTGGGTCCATCCTGCAGGCAAGGAGGAAAAACTGGCCGCCCAGTTTGCTGCCAGACCCGTGGGATATGTCACATTCACGCCTGCATTGCTGACTCTGCAGAAGGAGTTTGTTCATTCTGGCTCCACCCACCTTCAGAGAGCACACACTTCTAGCCAATAGGGGACCAGACAGGATGACTGGAAAAAAATTTTTTTCCAGCCTCAGGGGTGGCCAGAACATTCCATTTGACTGGAATTAATGATCTTCTGGAGGATACTTCCAGGCATAGGACAGCATAATCCCAGCAGTAGTAAATGCTATGATACTCTCATTCATCCATCACCACAATCCATTAGGAGGCATTGTCCCCAGTATTCAGATGAGGAAACTAAGCCTCAAAGAGGTTTAAGCCTAAGGATCTGCTGATAGCATTTCCTGGTTCTGATCTCAGATCTGAGGCAATTCCAAGTTTCTTCTCTTGACCACCCACAAAAGTACAAGCAAACTCAAATGACAGCCTTTTCACATTCTTAGATAGTAGAATGGAGAAAGGAAGTGTATTTCTGAAAGCCTTAGAGACAAGTGGCTAGGATGTGGGGTCACAGCTTCCCGGCCCCCACTCCCTTCTTAAAAATTCTTAAAAAAAAAAAAAGCCTTGAGGTAAATACTTGTCTCAGAGGTTGTCTGTATCCACCAAGACTACTTGCCTTTCTCAGATCATAATGCATATTTTGTTCACTTTTGTAGCTCTATAGACTAGCACACGAAGGTACTTGAATATCTGTGGCATAACAATTTGAATATCAGACCCAGAAAAGATGCACAGACTGATTGTCTCAGGCATGGAGGATGATTAGAGAAGGGCTTGAGGAGACTTAGTAAGCATGCTGACAAAGGCAGGAGAGGAAAGAGCCAAGAAAGCCTCAGGAAGTATCTGCCAACCATCTGAACCCTAAAAGGTTGGGGTCAGAAGAGATGTCCTTTAGGATTTCCCCCCACCCCAGCCAGGATGGCAACAGAGAAGGCAAAGGGTGGGAAGTAGTACATATGGCATTTACCTATACAGTCATAAAATCTATTGGGTGTCTTATTGGTCAGCTCAATCAATTAGTCTTATTATTTTTATCATTTCAAATCTTGACAGGGGGAGGAGCTGAGGGAAGAAGCAGAACCAAACAAGTATATATGTATGCTTATTTTAGACAAATATGAGCTAAGGAAGGGGTTTTGAGCTGCACTGCATTCCTTAGACAGAACTTTATCAGAGTGAGGCACATGACTCCAAAAGAAGTCAGAATACAAAATTCTACCTATACTTTTCATTCAATCACCTCTAAATCATACTACCCACATTTTTACAGAAATGACTGAAGATAACATGAGAAAAATGTAAAGAATCAACTTGCTAGGGAATAAAAAGATATTTCTCTTTCAAATACTGTCAGCCAATTGCCCAATAAATACTTTTCATAATGGCCAATATCAGACAGCTAATACAAGAAGGTCACTTTTAACAACTGACAAAAAGTCTACACTTCTTTACAAATATCATTTCCACTGTAAGAAAAGACCAATAAGCCAGGTGCAGTGATACACACCTGTAATCCCAGGACTAGGAGGGCTAAGGCAAGAGGATTGAGAGTTTGAGGCCAGCCTGGACTATGTAGCAAGACCCTATCCAAGTAAAAAAGAAAGAGGAGGAGGAAAAAAAGAAGAGAAGGAGAAGGGGAGGAAGGGAGGGAGGAAGGAAAGAAAAGAAAGAAAGAAAAAAGATCAATCTGTTGATCAAAATACAAGTCCAAGCAAATATTTTACAAAGAAATGCCAAATAACTGCTAAATATATGGAGAGTTGTATATTCAGAATCACCCTTACTAGTGAGCAAAGAAATGGAAAATTAAACAAGGTATTATTAGAAAATAATTAAAAGAATGACCTCAAATATATTGCTTACAGGAGAAATATACTATATCACGGACAGATTTAGCTTCATGGATGTTCACCACAGTGTAGCCTAAACATAACACAGTTAGTAATGGATTTAAATCAGTTATAGAATAGCCATACAGTAGAATGTCGTGCTGTTATTTTAAAAATCAGATTGTATAGTGACTGGATAAAGAACATATATACAATGGAGTACATATATATATATACACACACACACAATGGAGTATAGTTCAGCAACAAAAAGATTAAAATTATGTCATTTACAGGAAAATGGATGGAAATGGAAATCATCATGTTGAGAGAAATAAGCCAAGCCCAAGAAGACAAATATCACATTTTTCACTCATATGTGGAATCTAGTCCTAAAAAATAATAATTAATTTTTTAAAAAATAATATGGCATGACTATAAAAGGCAAACTGTATTGTGGGGAGAACCAGTGGGAGGGTGAGGAGGAAAGGAGAGAAAGATGGGGGTGAATATGTATGTATGCAAATAACATAATGAACTCACTAAAAACTATTAAAAAAGGAGGAAGGAGATGAGAGGAGAGTTAAGAAAGAGTAATAGATGGAGAGAATTTTATTAAAGTACATTATATGCATGCATGTAAATATCACAATGAAATTTCTTTGTACAATTAATTTATGCAAATAAAAAATTTTTAAATCATATGGTACCAGGACATATAATGATAAAGTTAATAAATGGAAAATGCAGGCTACATAAAAAGGCATATATTTAAATATATAATGTACTGAAAAGATGCCTAAATGTTAACAGACACACCATTAGTATTAAACAAGATTTTAATTTTCCTTTTTATGTTTTTCTGAATTTTTGATTGCTCTACAACATACTCTTAATAATCAGACAGTAAATGTTATTAAAATGAGACTGTCAGATGAATTCAAATAAAATACTTCTACAGTACTTACAAATACAATGAAAGCTATTCACTTCAAAAAAATGTTTTTGGCAATATTGGGGTTTAAACTCAGGGTCTCACAGTTTCTAGGCAGGTTCTCTACCACTTGCACCACACCCCCAACACTTTTTTTGCTTTAGTTATTTTTCAGGTAGGGTCTCATATTTTTGCCAAGGCAGGTCTGGACCATGATCATCCTACCTAAGCTTCCCACATAGCAGGTATGATAGGCACACACCACCACACCCAGCTTTTTCATTGAGATGGGCTCTTACTAACTTTTTACTTGGGCTGGCCTTGAACCAGGATCCTCCTGATTTCCACCTCCTGAGATTACAGGTATGAGCCACCATGCCAGGCACAGAATTTTTTTCATACTCCTCTAGAAACCAACAATGAGATCTAACTGTTATGCAAGCAAACATCCGATGTATTCACCCACCTATGGTTCTACTTTTTCTTGGTATAATCATGTCAAAGAAAAAGGAAGGAATGGCAGCCAGTCAGAAGGCTTTTTTCTTCCTAAGAAATTCCTAAGAGGATTCCTTGGAGCTACATTTTCATTATAAGGAAGAGTACTTTACATTTCCATCATAGAACACAAACAGCTCAATTACTGGGTATTTTTTTAAAACTACTGAGAGTTAGGGATATAGCTCAGTGGTAGAGCACTTGCATGCTAGCATGCATAAAGCCCTGGGATCAATCCCCAGCACCACCAAAACAAAAAGGCTTTAAGCCACTGGCAGTCACGTTTTTAATATGAAATTATCAAATGCAAGTGAAAATTTACCATAATGGCAATATTCTTACAGTTAATATATATTGAACACCTATTATGTGCTTTACATCATTATTTCTTGTTCTTACAAGAAGGCCCATTAGATAAGAATGCTGTGAGGCAAAGTGGAGTTAAACTACTTGCCACAGTCACGTGGAAATTTCTGAAACTCAAATGTCAGTAACCTGACTTTAAGAGCTAAACTACACTCTGTAGGACCAGCACTAAGGCTAAAAATTTGGTCAGCATTCAATAAAATCACTATTAGCATGTGATATTTTGGATAGGACCAAGCACTCATCCTTCTACACGCTCAGTTTTGTTAACGATGAAAAGCTGCCAGTACATACAGACAGTTTCACAGCTGCAGGGTTGTGTATGGTCAGTTACCATGTCACCATTAAGAGTTCAGAGTCCGGGTGTTGGTAGGTGTCACTACTGGCTACCTAGCTACACTGAGGAAGCAGAAGCAAGAAAAATACAAATGCATTCAATAGATTTTGAAACAACAGATCCAGGTCGTTTCGGGTTTTATTACTTGCTGTATATACACATACACATGAACTTCTATGACTGTCTTATAGGAATAGAGCAGACTGCAAATGGCAAAGGTTCCAGAGGCACTGAAATGGACAGAGAAAGATTTAATTTCATACTTTATCTAGATACTACTTGAATTCTTGACAATGAAGAAGGTAAAGACATGCCATCTCAAAATATGCCAATTGGTATATTGGTTATTTCAAGCTGAATAACTTAAGGAACTGTAACTGTAGGAAGGGCCATTTGGCCTGTCTTTCCCTGAATGCAGCAAGCCATGGAAGTTCTTTTAGGAAGGATACTTCACATAGCAAGGCTGGAAAATAGACTTGATTACCAGAGACTGGCAACTGGGGCTTCAAAGAACCTGAATAAACACACCTGGAAGCAACCTTCTACCTGTCCCCACCCATATTTCTTTTAGTACCATCCCTAAAATTATTCCCCTAGTTCAGACAGCCATTTTTTCCTGTTATTCCTGCACACATTTATTGTTCTTTGTCTAACAAAGTATCATGTTGTTTTTTTTTTTTTTCAGGGTACATTGTGACATTTATTTTTTTTTATTTTTTTTCCTTTTTCTTTTATTATTCATATGTGCATACAAGGCTTGGGTCATTTCTCCCCCCTGCCCCCACCCCCTCCCTTACCACCCACTCCGCCCCCTCCCTCTCCCCCCCCTCAATACCCAGCAGAAACTATTTTGCCCTTATTTCTAATTTTGTTGTAGAGAGAGTATAAGCAATAATAGGAAGGAACAAGGGTTTTTGCTGGTTGAGATAAGGATAGCTATACAGGGCATTGACTCACATTGATTTCTGTGCGTGGGTGTTACCTTCTAGGTTAATTCTTCTTGAACTAACCTTTTCTCTAGTACCTGTTCCCCTTTTCCTATTGGCCTCAGTTGCTTTTAAGGTACCTGCTTTAGTTTCTCTG